GCCTCCCGGATAATCATTATATATACACTTAGATATAATCCTTTTATGTCAGTTAAAAGGAAATCTTTGTTTAAATTCCAAAATTAAAAATATCTGTGTAGAGTGAAGGGAGATTTCTAGTTCTTTCTTTTTTATAATTTAGAACATAGCTGAAATAAAAATGTCTCCTACTGTCTTTGAAAAATCTTTGTCTTCATTTACTTGAATTCATCTGAATCGTTACCGTCATGATTTAAAGACGTATTCTTAACTTTAAGTAATGATGAATCCATTTCCTCTTCCTTTTCTTGAATTTGGGCTCTCTTTACCTCCTCTCTTCTCGGTTTTTACTTTCTTCTTCTGCTATGAGGTTTGGGAACCGCTCCATTTTGGTCTTTTCTAATAATTTCAGTATCTTATTCACTTTCTTTTCCACTGTCACTATTTTTGCATCCTTTTACCTGTCAAAACTTTTATGTCCCATATCCATGTCAGCTGTTTTCTTCAAGTTAGATCACTGTTTCGCAGATTAGATCAGGTTAGATTTCACATTAATGTTCATCTTGCAGTCTTGAATTCTCTGGGCCTTCACAAGTTCTGGACAGGTCATTAGCACTTCTTTTGGAATATCTTCTGTTTTCTCCCCCACTATTGCTTGTTGCCGGTGGAGAGGACGCTACTCTGGTGAAGAGAAACAGTATTCAGCTTGTTCCTTGGCTGCCTTTTAGAAGTAAGGATGACAAGACTTCGTCTCAGAGTTTAGGCATGTTTTTAGGAGAGTATATCATGCTTAGAAAATTGAAGGGTTAGGGGGAAAAAAGAAGACTTTCAACAAGATATAGTGACAAAGTAACTGCAGCATTGGGCTCAAGTGTGTTAGAGATGATGAGGATGGCACAGAATAGGACGGAGTTCAGATCTAATATTCATTGAGTTGCTATGATTTGTATATGATTCTGTGGCAACTATCAATGTCTTTCAGTATGGTAGCTTGAGGCTTGGCTTTATGACTCTAGCTCTTTGTACATTTTATTATAATACTTTGTCTTTTTGAGTTTCCTCTGGAAATATTTTTACTTCACTCTTTCTCTCCTTTGCTTTGGCTTCTCAGTGTTCATCTACTAGCATGTAATTAGAGGTTCTCTGTTGGCCTAGTTTTCTTTGGCACTTTGAGGCACTAGTGGCACCACAGGACGAAGGTGAGCAGTCTCTCCTTAAGATTTCTGTCCTTGCTAACCTGATGTTTGTTTGCTATAAGTTGGAGCTGAGTTGAATGCAGTGAGCATGGATTTAGGTCCCATCTTTATTTTACCCTGGTTTGTAGAGTCTGTTTTTATATTTCTTGGGATTTGGTTTTCTTATTTTTTTATTTTACTTTATTAATTTCAATGAACATTCACAGAGACTTTGGATTTCCATTCATTAATTGTTGCACTTTTCTCCCTGTCCCCTTCCCTCCCAGTTCACTCCTCTCTTCGAAAAGCAAACTCCTTCATTGGTATACAACCCCCTGCCCCCAGCGTACTCCACTCTGTAACCCTAATTCTGGACTCTTGTGATAACCATAATACCCTATCATATATTGCTTTTAAACTGTTCTCTCCCTCATCTGTTTCATTGCAGTATATATAATTTATCCAGATTTTCTCAGTCACCCCAACCCTGATGTCAGTCCCATTCTACAATAGTGGCACTATGCACTATTTGTCTTTTTATGACTAAGATGTTTTACCCGGTATAATGTCCTCCAGGGTCACCCATTTTGAATAATATTGCATGAGTTCCTTGTTTTTCAATGCAGCATATATTTCATTGTGTGAATATACCACAGCTTCTCTATACATTTGTTTGTTGATGAGCACCTGGGTTGTTTCCAACTGCTTGCTATTGTGAACAAAGTCATGATAAACATGGGTGTGCATATATCTTCTTGGATGGTGGTTATGGTCTCTTTTGGGGTATATTCCCAGTAGTATAATTGCTCTGTTTGCAACTTTTGAGAAAACGCCAGGGTTCCATTTTCTCCACAACCTCGCCAAAATGTGTTGCTTGCTGTTCTCTTAAATTTTGCTATTCTTACTGGGGTGAGATGATACCTCATAGTTGTTTTGATTTGCGTCTCCCTTAGTGCTAGGGATTTTGAATATTTCTTCATGTGCTTGTTGGCCATCTGAATGTTGTCTTTGGTGAAGTGTCTGTTCATATCCTGTGCCCATTTTTCAATTGGATTATTTTCCTTTATCTTGTTGTGATGCTCAAATATTTTATAAATTCTAGACATAAGTCCCTTATATGACGTGTCATTATTAAACACTTTTTTTCAGCCTGTGGTTTCCGTTTTTACTCTGTTGGAGATGTTTTTGGATGTGCATAGGGATTTGA